GGGGGGGGGGGGGAGAGTGAGAGCGAGAGAGAGATTGAGAGGGCGAGAACGAGAGACACTGAGAGAGAAAAACACAGAGCGAGAAATGGAGAGAGCCGACGGGTCCGCGGCAGGATGATTCCACGACGGATTCACGACAGGATTATTCCACGCCCTTCGTGAAAAAAAGGTGATATAACGGCATGATACTTGTGGGGTAGATCTACCTGGCAAGGCATCCGAGCAAACTGTCGCCAAGGCGGTGCGGCGGGGGAACGGTACACGAGCAACAACACTCTTGCTGTTTCAACAGCAACATTCTTTCAAACACCTTGGAGAAGAACAACGAAGGAAGGGTTGGGAATTTGATCAACTTCTCCCCAAGCGATCCTCCCCGGCCAAGACAGAGCACACGAAAACCTCACAGCAGAAGCAGACGCATGAACGAATACAACACGCCCCCGTCTTGCCTCTTGTAACACCAAGCTCAAACTCAACCCTTTTCCCATGAGCCAACACACTACAGCGAGAGTAGTACGACCGCAGCAGCACATCTAGCAACGCGGCCAAACGCGTTTCGTCGAGCTCTTCCCAGTACAGCGGGGGGTCCTTCAAGCCGGTTGAACATAGTACCACTGGGGAAAACAAGTGACACGGACGGAATTTTTTTTTTTTGAAAAATCGTGGTTGGATAAATCTGACGACAGAACACGGAAACGCAGCTTGCTGTGTCTCATTCTTCTCTGAATAATGCTGGGTGCCCGGTATCGTGCCACTGGTGAACCTGGCGGGCGCATACCGGTACTACTGAGCACCCTCCCACTGTATTTCCCGCTTGCTTGTGCTCACCGTGCGGTCTCCTCCCCTCTGAGGCGGCGCCGACGACGAAGGGATCCTCGCAGCGGACGAGGACAGCACCCCTATCGGCGCAAAGAACGCTCCCGCCAGAGTCGGCAGCAGCAGGAGTCTATGGCAAATGAGTTCCACCACAGAGGCAGGTCACAGACGGGAGAACACGGGGCGGGGGTCAACACGCACACGCCGCGGGAGCACATGATGACGGCTCCACGCGTACGACTGAGGGAGGCTTCACAAAAACATGAGAGTAAATAAGCAGCGCCAGCTGTCGCCGGGCACGCACCGAAAGGGGTAAAGCAACGCTTTCTTCGTACTGTACCCAGGTGTGGGAACCGATCGTCGACGCCTTCCGGGATCGTCGAACGGCCCAGAACGAACAGGTTAACGCCTTACTTCGCGTACTTAGAATTACCTTCTGTAGGGCGCTTCGGCGAGGGTCGAAGGGCGTGATGAAAGCGTGTATTGCCGAGCAGCGAACACCGAATTGATGCGTTTTGCACGCCAAGGAAAGGAGTTGTATCCGCTCAGCATGTTTGTCGAGAGGTGGCTTCAGTGATGTGTACAGTTCGGGCCCGCAGATAAGAATTGTCAAATTCGGGTCGAGCCTCGATCCCTTGTTTTGGGTTCAAGGACCAGCCGACGTAGTCCGTTTTCTTTAAGGGCATTTCTTAGTCCTTTGGAACGTCGCATCCTCCCAATCTTCGTATTTCTCACTTCGGATATTTTCTCATTTGACATAAAAGCATGTAACACACGAAATGGTCATCATGCCGCTTAATATTAACCAGAAACATAGCTCGGTGTGACCATTGGTGTGGCGAAATAATACCACTCCCTCCTCCCCTCCAAAAAATGCACTGTTGTTGTTCAGCTAGGTAGCGGGGTGGCAACACGGAAGGAGCAGCAGTTGCACGGTTCTTGTTTCGGCACGCTCATCCAGCTACCCCTTGTTTCCAATGTCTTGGGGGTATCGCACCATCGTGTTTCTTATTGGGGGCGTTTCTCATGTTGTGGCCGAGATCGAGGTGCGTTTCTTAGCCCTTTTCTCTTATTTTTCGTCGAAATTTGAGCCTATTCCAGAATTTTTCTTACCTGCGGGCCCGTACTGCTGCACATGTTCCGCGGCTGCTGTTATATGGATGCATGCATATGTCCAGTTATACCAGGGATAGACAACAGATCATGTACAACAATTAGGCCGCGTAACGAGGTTCCATTCCATGCTTTGGTTTCGGTTGGTGTTCAGGGCACAATCTTCATTGCCATAACAGCAACATTCGTATTGGAAGCACGTTACCAGCGAGCGGGGGGCAGGGAACCTGGCATCAGGCACAAAGGGTGCCCCAACAGCAGGTAGCACCTATTCCCACGGGTTCATACTGGTACATACAGTGGAACGCGAACGAAACTGCCGGCCGGAACCGACATTGGTTAACTGCTAAGGAGTTACGGCCCACGATAGGAGGCACGAGTTTGGGATCTGTTCCCCTATGCCCCAATAACACGGAGGACGTGCAGCAGCAGGTCGATAACCATGGTGTCACCAACGGGGGTGTTGAGTGTCCTTGGGTGTGCACGTGGAGTGCAAGTGGAGGACGAGGAAGAAGGAAGGTCTGGTTGGATGACATGTACATGATGGGTACGAACAGCAGTAGAGCATCCGCCGAGAAAATAGAAAGGGTACAACAGATTGGCTGCATCGCGCCGGCGGGGCGCCCTGCAACAATCTTCTTGTCTCGCAGCAGACCGAGGCCCCTCGGGCAACCAGTACAGCTACTGCTGCATCATCTACAGTACACATCCCTCACGAGACTATTTGTGGCATTGACCCGGTGGCCGATCCCGACCTGAGGCGGGGGGGGGCTCCAGAAACTCCAAGCACGGCCGCAGGCGAAACTTACTTGGGAAGGGCGAAAAGAAGCGTGATGATCGAGATCGAACCTCGACTAACGCTACCAGGAGATCGTCTGCCGTTGAAGCTCATCACCACAGAGAGAAAGGGGAGGTGAGGCGGGAGTGCCCGACGTCACAGGCAGCAGCAGCGGGTGCGAGCCCCATGCCCCCATCCGTAAGATTTAAAAATAGCAGACACGGAGCCCCCAGCAAGTTTGTGGGGTTACATACATCGTCAGCACACGTGCATGGCCGGTGCTCTACAGAAATGGCGACAAGAATAAAGGTGAGAACGGATGGTGGATGAGCTCAAGCCTTGCGTTTCTTTCGCTGTGTCGTCGCGGTGAACTTGCAACGCCGTTACTTGTCAACCGCAGGAACGAATCTCGGTGCAAACCGACACATCTTGTAGACCAAATGGACACGATGTACTGAAGCTGGAGTCTACGTCGTCGGCAGCACGACGCGAACTCTATACAGACATGCATCGCCATTCGCTCTCGGTTGGTGCTGCGTCTGCAGCAAGTGTACAAAAGTATGCATATCATTGAACACAGCAGTGCATGACGTTGTATATCAGACCCCATAGTCCCAGTTTTCATTTATGGCACTCCCTCCAAGGCTTCCAGTACTACGGTAGGAGCCTCCTAGTGCTCCTATTTCTAGAAGCCCAAATGGGGACACGTTGGACACACCACACTCAAATGCCTGTTTACCGCACCGTGCTCGTCACTATTCTCCGCTGCGTGAAACGTGCTTGGGAAACATTGGTCTAGCATGCTTGTGTCAGGGGGTACGCTGTGTGAGGCCGGGCCTCTAACTTGCTGTACAATTTCCCAAGACGCGTTTCCCCTTATTGGTAAAACTGGAGTACATACAGCAGCCTAGCACAGGAAAGATTTGCTGACTTGACTTCAGTGTAGAAAGTTTCTACGCTAAGTCAAGTCAACCTTCGACCTTCGGGACTGAGCGGACCGCAATTTTTCCGGACCCTAAGCTGTAACTAACTGGGTACGCTGTCGGAGGGTTAAGGCTCGGCATCCCCGCAGGTGGATGAGAATGCTTGTGCCAACGGACGGTGTTGGAAAAGGTTTTCGAGAGGTTTCCGAAAAAGTACCATTCGGCAACATGACACTCTTGATAGTGGAGCAAATTGGCACTTTGAAATAGGAGCCCGAGGCGGTTTGACGTACTACAATGCCCGTCGACAACGGAGCAGGTACCGAACCAACCAGCCTCGCGCACACTGCCTGGCTCTCGAAATCATCATTCACCGTCGAAGTGTAGCCTGTTCTTCCCACATGAATTTTTCCTGACCATCACGGCCGCCATCCCGACCGAAAATCGATCTGTTTGCTACCTGCCTGCAGGCATCTCCTGTGCTCCTTCATGTGAGTTTCCTCTCCCGCCGCGCTGCTGCAGCGCCATCGAGTGCTCCCTCGCTCGCTTCATCGCTGGCAGGGCTGCAATACTGGAGAGGCAACTCGAAAATGGCGCCTCTGCTGTGCCACCTTTCCCGCTTTCCTCCCCTCTTGACAAGAGCCTCCTTCAGCACGAAGAGCGCCAAAGACGACGACAAGACCGCGACGGAGGCGAAGGCCAAGGTTGAGCAGGTCTCCGCCGAGACCAGGAAGGACCAGTGGGGCAACCGCGGGAAGCTCATCTACGAAGGGTCCTTAGCTCACCCGGTCAGAGGGCTGAAGAGGTACAAAAGTGGTTTTGACCGCGCGAGAGGTTTGTCGTCTATCTGGGTACACCACGGACTGCAAATCCCGCGTTGGTGCCTGTTGCGTTGTTTGCAGTCGAAAGAGTGCATTCCGGCAAACGGTACACGGTGGTCATGTGAAGATGTATTAAATGATCACATCTTATTGAATCGTATAGGAGGCAGTATGGAGCAGGGAACACCATCGCATTATGCACTGTTACAGTGTAAGCGAGGTTTATCTCAACGCTTGCATCCCAACGCATTCGATACGAGATCAACCATGTCCCAGGCACCGCGGTAAGAGTCCTGGTTGCCTGACGAGGGAGTCGCTGTAGGTGCTGACTATTCCAACTTCGTGTGGTTTCCGCTGCAGCCCATGCAGAGATCTACGGATGGGTGGAAGTTGCGACGTTGGGGCGAGCGGTTTTCCACCTGTACGCCTGATGTTGGCGTATCGACCCCTTTTTCTATGCGTACCCAACGGTATGCAGTCATTCCGCCAGGTCAATCTTTCATGCTCGCCCGCGTTGCCGAATCAAAAGTGGCGTTTGGTTGCTGTTTCGCCCGATCCAACTGCGTGTTTAACAGGGTGTCGATAACGACGTGCCTCATCAGCATTTTGGCGGTGCCGGCCCTGGTGATGTATGGCAAAGAGAGCGTGCCGGTGGCAGGACAAGTTGCTGTGATGAGCGCGGCCTTGGTGGGAACTGGCAGCTCGACGCTCCTCCTGAACCTCTGCGTCAGTCCCTACGTGTTTCGAATGGCTGAGGTAAAACGAGCTGTGCGTCGGCAATGCGACCATGATTTCGGTCAAACGACGGGTTGCATGGTACTAGAATATTTGCCTGCTTGCGTACATGAACTTTATGAATGTTATCACCACCCAGCTTTGGGGCTTATTCGGCCTCAAGCGTTCGTACTATACTCGTCGTCCCTTTCAGTATTCATATGCAGCAATGTTTTTTATTAACACCTTCCATTAATGTTTGGAATGCCCTCGATGAAAGCTCTCACATTGCAAGCGCACGTTCGACGCTCCTGCGTCGGGCATTGATTTCTCCTCGAGCCTAGAGAGTACCTTTTTTTGGCCACGGTCCTTCTCCGGACAATGAGAGATGTGCCTCGGCCAACCCCCGGCCAGATCCGATTTTGTTGGTCAATATTTGTTGATTCGACCTCCCCTTGCTTGTTTTCAGATATACGAGGGGGGAGTCGCCCAGGGAGAAGACGGTGAAGTTCGCAAGAAACCAAGAAACAAGACGAACCGGTACGGCATGCCGAAGCTGTCGGGTCGGCGATTTCGTGTGGAGCGGATGAACATCTTCGGGGTGCGAAGAACCACCGAGTTTTCGATAGATGAGGTGCGGATCGATGGATGACTGAACATCTGGGTCGATGATTTAGTTTGGCTGCACACGGTTGATGGCTTTTCTGTCGAATGAGTATCCAGAGACGTGCAATGAACAACGTTCACTGGCGCCGTCGAGCCCATGTCTTTGTAGGCAGAAATAGAGACAACGGCGCCCGCTTCCTGTTGCATGTCGCACTTCGGTTGCGCCGGTCACGGACAGGATAGTTGTTTGCTAATGGATTATTTCGTGCATACACCGCCTCGCCCTAAGGGCTTCAAACGTACCATACGTGCGGAGGCTTTTGGAAAAAAAACACAGCTAGGTATGTTGTTTTGTTGATGTGCTTCCAATGTCTCTCTGAATCTGTTTGTGTTCTGACTTGCATGTTTTGTAATTTTTTTCTTCCCCTGTTGTCTCAGGTGGAGCCCATGCCCAACACATCCAGACCATTTGTGTCCTTCAAGGCCGCCGGCAGCTACTACTTTATCCAGGGGCACGACATGGCCGACAAGGTGCTGCTTCAGACCCTGCTGGGACGAGAGCTCAAGGACCACGAGAAGCGGCCCCCAAATAGTGCGACTTAAGCATGTTATTTCACTTTCGAGGAGCAACCAAATGATTCGCGGATGACTTAGTTGCACGAGTGGAGTTTTGGAGTTTTCCCCTGTGGTTTTGCGTGTTCCCACATAAAGCCACAGAGCTGATTTGTCTGGACTATTTTGAGCGGCTCATGCCACGTTGGGTGTTGGCCGCTTACGTGTTTCCGTTGGCTGGTGCCGCCAGCCCCACCAGCGCAAGCCGACGTTGGAGGATTTTTCATGTGTACCTCAAGCGGCACAGAAATCACGACTCAAATACGCGGTCTGTCGGGTCACCCATCCTGGTTGCTTTTGTTGAGATGCGCGGGTGACGCGGTTGCCTGACCGGATGTGCTTGAGATCGTGCCTTCCTCGTTGGGAAGGAAAGCTTCCTCGTTGAGAGCCACCGATGGTGTTGCAATGCAGTTGGGGCTTCGAGACAAACGACGAAGTCTACATGCATCTCTACCGTGTTCAGCGATCGCCCCTTTGGTTCACTTAATAGCCTCTCTTCCTTCTGACGTCGGGACGTGGGGGGAAATACCAGCGCATTGTTCCAAGTGGGGTTGTCTTAACATCATGCCCCACCAGGGATGAAATATAGACCTTGTGGTACACAAGATTTCGAGTTCACGGTCGGACAAAGGGAACGCCGTCCGCGTACACAGCACCGAGCTTCCTTGCGTCACGATCACCCTGCTCCCCAACCGTTGTGGCGGCTGCTCGACTGACGGCTGGCCCTATTCATGCTTCCCTTCGAGGGCTGCATCTCTAGCCTTGGTGGGTTGGAGCCTGGTGTCGATGGGCCTCGCCCGTCGCCGCCTACGCCGCCTACACCACCTCCTCGGTTTGAACTGTTGCTTCTCGACCAATTGGCCGTGTCCGAAACACCTTTTCGCGAGCGCAGGCGTGCTTTGGTTTCGGCGATGCCTTGCATGAGCTCGAGGCTCGTGCGCTCTTCCTCCTCCATGTGCTTGGACGGTCCCTGTTCGCTTGATTGGAGGCACACGGGAAATAGGAGGTCTGTCCAACCCCATGAACTGATTGACCCTTCCAACTAACTCTTCAATTGATCGTAATGCGTTATTCACAGTATCTCGCAGCGTTTGAGGGGAAGGCAAGAGGCCAGATTTTGTGCATCACTCCCATCCTCATCGCCTTAGTTTGGTGCGAATGAGGGAGAATTAACCCCTTCGTAGCGATGTGCGAATAGCCTGGGCAAGTGAGTTGCGGGTCGCAACACCGTGATACAGGTAGGGCCTGGGGGCTGTGTAAGGGGCATGGAACTCAATTTTCAGCGATGTGGCTTCCTGGGGGCGCATTTGTTGGTGTTCAGCTGCCGCGGAACAATGTCAGCATCATGGTCCTGAAAAAGTGGAAATGAAGGCAATTAATCTCTGCTAGCGCACGCATGCAAGTACAAATGCGGGTGGAGAGCGCTTGCCTGCGCAAGAGCATTTCTAACGGATGTGAGCTTGTTGGTGGCATGGTGTAGACGGCGCTTCAAGCCTTCGCCGATCTGCTGCGCTCGAACGGCTCTAACCTGAAGCTGCGATCATTCCGAAAGTAGAGGGCAGGTAGCAAGGCCGACGGTGTGAAAACATTGAGTGACGTGAACATTTGTGTCTCCACGATCTGTCATGCGTATCACGTGTAGCTGAGATCACCCTAGTATTCTGCTGATTGAAGAATTCACACGCGGGCTAGTCGACCGTTCGAAATCTTCGCGTGGGCAAAGGCTACTGTGCTGTGTCTGCGCTCGTTCTACGCGACCCTATCTATCATTGCACTTGTGCGAAGTACACTGGTGGGCACGCAGCCGCTTCATTCTTCCGGAATCAGCACTCCATCAGTGCAAGCGCCAGCGTGAGACGGTGAAACTCGTAGTGATCTCCGTTGAGCATTGCTCCGAATATTCATGCCTTTTCACTCTTCAAGTCCTCTCAATAATCGCAGAATATTTAGCGCAGACTCACTCTCCTGATGACCAGGGTTTCTTGACACCGAAGACCGTAGTACTTCGAGATTTGCAACGGAGTTGGAAAAGCCATGCTACCGTGTTTTTCTCCTTACCTCTTCCTCCGAAGTCATTTCAGCAAGCTCCTGGCGGAGAATGGCGGTCTCGCGTTCCAGAGGTAAACGTTCCGCATCTCGTTGTTTCGCCATTCGCCTGGTCACAAAACATGCGTAGAGAAATGCAAGATATTCACGACACACCAACACCCGGGACGTCGTGCCAAGCCAATATGTGAATCAATTGCTCGTCTTTCGGACAAACCCGGACTACACAGGGTTCGTTGCACAGTCGAGACGCGGAGACGGACATTGTTCCGCCGCAGGGGACTCGATTCAGGAGAACACAAGTTTGCGATATCTCGAGCCAAGGGGCATATTCGATGAAGCTGTGGAATTCCGACTTGTCCTGCCTGAACCCGGCGGCCAAGCGAGCAGCATCGGCGATCTCGCTCCGTGTTTGATCTTCTGTCTGCTGCAAGATTGACGCCAGGTGTTGGCGCTTGTTCTCGTGGGCAGGCACCTCGCTCAGAGCAGCCACCAGGTCCGCAAACCCTTCACACCTGCCCAGGAAAAGGCCAATAAATATTCGAATGCCGAACAAGAGAAGATTCAAGCCACCTACGACGCACCAGCCGGGCATCACGTCAGAAGTGAATAGGGCCCTAGACTTCGTGCACGTCTACGTACTACCTTGTGAGATGGCTGGGTGGGTGCATCATTCGGGGGCACATAGCGTCCGTATTTCATTGGGCCAAGCAGCAACTTTCGCAATGGATGAATTTTTTAACCACCGTGAGCCCGAGCGACAGCGACTGTCGTTCGTCCTCACGATCTCGAATAGAAAGGGTGTTGACAGATGCGTTCAAGCGCCCAAACAGCAGTAGGAGATGCTCGTGCCACTCGATTCTACAAACTATTGAATGCCGCTACTTTTGCCGTAATGAAGAGGTGGCGACCAGCCTCGGGCTTTGGCGGGAATTCATTAGCTGAAAGATGATCTTCCGAATAACGAATATTTTGTCAAAATATTTTTCTGCTGCACAGTACCTTGCGGGCGGCTTGGGTTTGCCCTCGTTGCTGCCAATATTGCCACCAGTATCTGGCAGCGAACAAGCAGACAACGCATCCTGGTGGGTTCCTGAGGGGGCCGGGAACGAGGCCCCGTGGTTGCCAGCTGCAGCATCCTCAGCCTCGTCCTCGGCTAAGTTTTCTAGAATCTGGGACTTGGCGTCCAGGTCGGCGCCTTCTTCCTGGGCCTGCAGCATTGCGACTTCGACGGCTTTGCAGACCTGCTCTAGCCCCAGGATCTTCTCGGTGTGACCCAGGTACGGGTGTGGCGTAGCAAGGGACAAACGACGTTCACTGTGAGCTCCTATGAGTAAAAACGAGAAGGCTACAGCTGGGTTGCCTAGTTGTGAATCGAGGGCTATTTCTCGGCTGCAAAAGATGTGCCGATGGCATTGACTGCGCAGCAAACGCGACAACACCTACCGCTCGAGAGTCGGTATGAGCGCATGAAACTACAATAGAATGGTTCGACGTGTTTTCTAGATGATTAGCGTCAAACCTCCAGGCGTTCGCTACGACGGATCCTCTCCAGCTTCATTAGCCGGTGGTTGAGGGAAGCCTCCTCGTCTTCCAGCTCTTCAACACGCCTCCAGCAGGATCTGTGGGTGTGTTGTGAGTGTGCCAATATCGAACAACTCTTCGTACAACAGATACAGGAGTGAATGGCCGACCGTATTGGATGGGGTCAACATCACATAGAACTCTTCGGTGCTAAGTGCTCGAGGTGGTGAACCAATTTCAGTCTTCATGGAGGCACCATGCAAATCAAAAGCGGCGGGATCAAGTCGTGGCTGACTCGTTCACTCTTCTCACGTGTCCAGCAAAAAAGAAGTGCTTGCAGCACTCGCCAAAGCCGACTAGACTTGGCCTTTCATCCATGCACGAAGAGAGTAATTGCAAGTTCAGTCGTTCGTTCAGAAAATCTTCCAATCTGTTTTATGCTTGCAGCCTACATGACTTACTGTAGAGATGAAAATGGTGAAGATGACAAAGCAAACTGCCCGCGACTGACATATCGGCAGTTCAGCCAACATCTAGACTACGCATGGAGGATTGCGAGCGTCTTACAAAGTCCAGAATGGTATCAACTACGCTGCGTGTGCCCGCCACCTAGGCACAGGATGCTGCATCGGGACGTTCCACAAGCATTGCACCTGGTTTCCCCGTCTAGCAGCTCGATGCGCTCGCTCAGGCTCGATGCAATATTTGTAGCATTGGCTGCAGCTGGTCCACGGCTGCTGCTGTCACATTGTCGTTCCGCACCGTACTCGGTGGCCAAATCATGCTCTTGCACATCATCTTCCATCTTCGGCCAGAGGAACAGGCCTTCCGATTGTGCGGGGCAAGGATTGCGTGGCCTCTGGAGGGACAAGAGGTTGTCTTCGTCGGTGGAAATGGGACCAAAGCGGGAGGTATAGTAGAATTGGGCAAGAACGTGTCCACGGATCACGGGTTGCAAAATGAGGCCATTTCCAACATGGAGGGGTTTCCGCTTGCAATGCGAAGGTTTTTTACGGGAGGGGAGAGAGAGATTAGCGGGAGGCGTTTTGGGTGTTCGAGCTCTCTGGCAGAGGGATGCTACGATAGGGGGTACCCCCTCTGTCACATGGAGTGTTTTGACGGACTGGTGTGTACTGCCTCAACCAATGGAAAAAATGCTTATTGTTTTGCACACCGCGAGGAGATAGATATGCCAGGGAGCTTCCTGGGCAGAATTGATTTCCTTGAAATGCAAAAAATTGAGAGAGTTACGAGCATTTTTATGGACCTTGTCGGGCGACAGCATGTGACCCATGTATTAAAAAGTGTCCCCCCTACCGTAGCATTGCTCGGCAGCTCTCGTGTTCACTCTTTAGAAGCTTCTGCTGAGGTCCCTGGACAAGAAGTGCGTGTTCGATACTGCTTTGACTATTCACCTCACGCTATCGGTACTCTTGGCGTGGCTGGCGGAGCCCGTCACATGTGTGAGTACTGCAATCACCGTGCCCTACCTTCTGTACATACATGCTGACTCTACAGGGGAAGGGGTGCCGGTGACGTCCTTGCTTACGCCCTGGTGATGCTGGTTGGCTTCTGCACATACGTGGTACATTGCTATCGTTGCCCATTTCACGACTACCACGGCAGGATCCACCCTTTTACCTCGCGTCTGTGGATAGATACTCCAGGCGGTGTGAAACTTAACCCTTCGTGTCAGGTCATCGATACTGAGACATGCACCGCTACTGTAGATGCAAGACGAGGTGAAGTGCTGTATTCAGAAAAATCACCCACACCATTGACTGCAGGTGGCAAGAGCGGTTTCCCAATAATGGTGCTGATCGAAATAATTCCGCTATTTACCGGCAACGCAAGTGGTGTGGTTCGTACCGGTGTGGCTTTTCGGGGGGG